GAATAAAAAAAAAACAATAAAAAATGATTGGAAGAGATTCATATTATTTTATAATATTCTAAATTATTATAGTGATGGTTGGCTACTGTCTTCCACAAAAAAAAAAAGAATAACATTAAATAAATTATTAATAGAAAGAAAAGCAAAAAAAAAAAAAAAGTATATATATATAAAAATACATTGATTGAAGGAGAACCCATGTTAATTTACTATGATTTTAAGCTGGCAGAAACTATGGCTACCAAGGTCTATTATTACAAGGGACACATACTGACCTCCTGAGCAGCACCGGGATTATCTGTGATGTCAAAGATGACAGCCTGAGCGCCTCTCTGAAGAGCCAGACGAGCCTGAGAGACACAAAGAGACAGAGCTTTAGTTATCAGTATCTTTAGAAATCCCACGAGCCAGCAGGTGGCAATCCTACTGTAGCACACATGGAGACACTGAATCCTGCCTTTATGCAATTCAGCACTGTTTCTGACCCCTGTGAGAGATAGAGTGTGTTAAAGTGAAAGTCTGCACATTCAATAACTTCTTACCAAATTCCTAAGACATTTTAAGAGAATACAACACATATAAAGTCAGTATAAATCGACAAACAATGAAATGCACCTTTTAAATTCATCCAGTTGAAAGGAAGGTCAGTACCAAAACACACAAGCACTACATTGTTGCCAACAACAAATGATTTATTTCTTCAGGTTAGGAGTTTAAGTTTGCTTAAATTAACAACTAACTAGGTGATAAACATACTCATTCTTGTGATGAATTATCAGTAGAGTATAACCTCCTAAAGGCTTCAGTTCAGACTTCAACACTTTAGAGAAGAAAAACGGAGTTGATACACTACAAAAACACTAGTACTTCCTTCCAGTGTGTCAAACCCTCCCTGTCTTTGTCAAGATAGATGCGTTTCTTGTGCGATTGTGAGGGAATTTTGCCCAAACAATGACCAATAACTCACCAAAGCTCTATTTCCTGCCCAACTGCTGAGAGTTCAAAGGTCAAAGGTCACAGTATGAGCTGCAGGAAAGTATACTGCTGCGTTTTAGACAATGATCGTGTGTGCGCGTTTAGCTGTGATTGAGCGGTTATAATTAGCAGTGCTTGCAAAGTCAAGCATCGCTATTACTGTAAATTAGACTGAAGGTTAGTGATTTGAACAAACCTAAACTCTAATTAAACTTGACTGTGTGTGTCATCCTGAAGAGTTTGTGCTCCAGACGTGAATGATTACACAAATCATGTGTGCTGTTGTTGAGAAGTGTGCAATTACTGGGTGATCAGACCATTTTCACCTGCTGGACCAGAAAACAGGTGACAAAAATCCCACAGATGCACACTGAAGGAAACTCTTTAAACAAAAGACAAAATCCTTGCAACATGGTGATAAGTTTTGCATAGTAAAAAATTTATCAACATGATTACAACTTTGATAATAAACCTGTTGCACACAATCTACTCCATGCCTTTTGTTGTCTGATTGATAGTTTAGACTATTTTAGCATGTAAAAGGTCTTTTAGTTTAGTTGTACAGCTTGTGCTTCACGTGTCTTTTTGCTGTCAAATCTTTACTGATTTTTAGCAAGTAAACGTCAGAATAATATAGCTTTACTTGATTCTCCATCAATCATGTTTTAGAGTCTCAAATCTGATCCTCAGGATCTTTTGAGGAGCGTTTGTTTCCAGAAGCTTTACTTTCACTGTTCCTCAGCGGAGGAATGATCTTCACAAGCCTCCAGAACATCTCACATCTTCTGAGGAGCCTTTATTTCTTCAGCTCTCAATCAGCATTGCATTATTTGTTAGTATCATTTCAATCTCATCTTACTAAGACATATTATTGGAGATATAGATTGACCACTGATATTTAGATCATTTTAAGGAAAGTATATGTTATACTGTTATAAAGATCTCATTGATTTATAATAGCATCTGCACCAAAATGCATATTTTTGGGCCTCTGAATTAAATGTAGGTGTTTTTTCCCTATATTCTCACTATATCAGACTATATGAGCCATAAAAGCCTGATGTATCGAATATGATGCTCAACAAAACACAGATATGCAAATCACCAATTCATGACGTTACAGTAACTACATGCTGCGAGTGACATTTAGTTTCCTCTATAATCGACAGATGAAAAGGTAATGCTTTGACTGTAATTCTGGACACAGACTGTGCTGTGTGTTAAAGGTTTAATAACAGCCTCATGGCTGCAGACGGACTCTCCAGAGACAGGAAGTACAATCACTGACCCGTCATTAGCCTGCTAGCTACACACACACACACACACACACACACACACACACAGAGCTAACAGGTTTAACTGAGCATGTGCACGGAAATCATCAGTGTTTTCTATAAGAACCAACAGTGTTCAGATTACTGGCTCTGAGTTTTGCTCAGTGTGTGAGAAATCTTGAGAAACTTGTTAAGTGTGAGTTTAGTCTCATCTGCTGTGTTAATGAGAGGGTTCAGATGTGTGCGGAGTGTAATGCGACTTACAGAAGTGTGTGTGTGTGTGTGAGAGAGAGAGAGAGAGAGTCAGTGCTACCTGTCTGCTTTCAGCTGATTGGCCGGATGGAGCAGGAAGAGGCGGGGCAATCGGTGTGTTTGATGTGGGGTATAAACTCATGATAGCTGATGTGTGAATATGTATGTATTTGGAATAACAGAAAACTGACAAGATAGAAGCCAATATAGTTACAAAATTAAAATTAATATAAAAATAGTTCAGCTGGAAAAAAAGAATTACATTAGTGCTGTCTACCTTTTCAGTGGCATTGGTTCTAGAAGTATTTTTCCTCATTAATTTTCTTCCCCAAACGTATTTTAAAAGGTGTTTGTTAAAGTTGAACCAAACCAACCACCTTATTAAACTCAACGGCTTTAACAAGGGAAAGAACTACAATCCCATGAAGCATTGCGAATGACATAATGGAATTAAAAACTATAGAGAAATATAAAACTATTGATTCAAAGATGTTGATTACATACATAGAAACAATATCTTATAAATATATTGCAAAAATGCATTTATATACTAATATTTAAGTAGCTTGATGAAGTAGGGAGAATTCATAGTGCTTCATACAGGAGTTCTTTTGGCGCAATTTGCTTCTCGAGATTCTCTGATTGGTGGAGATTTCACAGCAGAATTATGGGTAATGTAGTTTTTAACCAGGAATACCTCTGTTAAATAGTTATTTAAAAAATAAGTTGAAATAATGCGAACTGATAGCTTCAACAAAAGCATCTACCATTGATTAACAAACTCTGAGATCACAGTAGGTCTGTCTTTAACGGTTTATAATGTATTGTTAAAAATATATTTCCCTATTGAGAAAATGAATGGAGTTCACTGTTCTACTGTACAATGAAAGCAGACAGTGACCAGAGGCTGTCAAGCACTAAAAATGACATAAAACTACCATAAATGTAGTTCATATGTCTCTGAACTCAAATATGGTACATAGGCATATCTTTAGTGCTTTTTTGTCCTTTTTCAAGCCCGACATACTCACAATGAACAGAAAAATACATTGTGAAAAACAGTGCACAGGTTTGGAACATGAGAAATAATGACAAAATATTTGAGTGAATTATTCATTTAAACAGACATTAAAGGCAGTTGGTGAGATAAAGGTATAAGAAATGCATTGAGATCATAATTAGACGCCCCTCCTCATCATCTCTTTCTTTCCCTTCACTTAATCACTCGACGGTTCATTCGATGACACTAAACAATCATCCCTCTATCATCTACATAAATGGATGTTTGTTAATTCAGCTTGATCCCTTGTTCTGAGAGCTGTTGGTTTATTTCCAGCCCGCAGGCGAAGGGAGCCCATCCAACACTGGAGAGACAAAACCCTCGGATAGATTTCCTCAGATAACCTCCCATGATTAAAGTAAGCCACACACAAAGAATGAAACTCAGTCTTCTACTGTAATAACTTCACATTCCTGAAATGATCTACTACAGTAGCCTGACGGTAACGTCTCACTGGCATCCAGACACTAAATAACAATCTCAATATTGGGCCGATCTACTGAAGCTCAATTTGGCACGTATATCAAATAGAAAAATTATATATATATATCACAGATCATGCTCACGTGGAACACTTCACCGCTGTGAACCTGTCCAGATTTTAAACATGTAGTTTTACATGTAGTATTTGGGTCTGCTTTGATTTTGGGTCTGCTTTTGAATATAAAACACACACACACACACACACATATGTGTGTGTGTGTGTGTGTGTTTTATATTCAAAAGCAGACCCAAAATCAAAGCAGACCCAAATACTACATGTAAAACTACATGTTTAAAATCTGGACAGGTTCACAGCGGTGAAGTGTTCCACGTGAGCATGATCTGTGACAGGGTAAACTGTGATGTGAAGCGTGAGTGAGGAGGGCTCTGAGCACCAGCTTAATTAGCCGCTTCTTCCTTGCTTTCATTCGCCACATGAAAACATTCCTGTTTTGATCTGTATCCTGTTATTCCATAAGACCCGTGAATCCGATCCACCCGAAGTATTGGAGCGCTAATAACCCGGCCTCCACAGAAGATCTGCACGCTTTCTCACAACTTCTGTGCTGATTGAGGGGAAATCTGTGGAATGGATTTAAACACGCTGAAGAGAGCTGGAAAGGCAGTCGTTACATCGATTATACCACGGTAGATGAATTTGCATGGCTGATTTATGCTATTTACATGTGCAGCACAGCAAATAATGGACTTTTTATTTAGTATTTTTGTCTTGTTTTACAGTATACAAATATCTAAACATTCTTAAATCAAGATATACTTACTTGAGATGCAAAATGATAAAAGATAATGAGTCTTGCTTTCTGAAATATCTGAGATTATGCTAAAAACAAGAAAAAATCTGCAGTGAGGTTAGAAAAATCAACTTAATTCAAAGGGAAAACAAGTTTATTTTTCTGATCACTGCCAGATATTTTTTTGTTGTTTTAAGGAAAAAATTTTTTTTTTTTTTAATGTCATATAATGTAAATGCATTTGATTTAAGAATATTTAAATATTTGTACTAGGAAAAAAAAATACTGAGGAAGAAAACAACTTTTGCAGTGTTGCACATAACATAAATCAGCCATGCAAATTCATCTACCACAGTATAATTGATGAAACAAATGCTTTTCCATCTTTCTTAAACATGTTTAAGGAAGAAAAGCGTTCTTTCTTACTTTTTATTTATTTATTTATTTTTGCAGTGAGTGTGTCTCATCTAATTATTAGTTATTAATAAATACAGTATTTATTACTAAAATTACTCATGTCGTGACGCTAGATTTTGCTGATAAAAGAGATGGTA